AAACATATGCTGTGCAGATGTTTCTTCCCTGCAGCGACTGTGTCAAGAAGCAAGGATGGACCGGCTTCCAGCAGAGGAGGAAACTGAGGCTCAGAGACATGGGGCGGGCCCTGACTGCTCAGCGCCTTCACCTCCCGACTGTGGCTCAGCGAGCACGGAGCAGGTGCACACGGGACTGCACGGGGTCGGGAAATGGGCCCCCGGGGTCTTCCGGGGAGGCCAAGCATGGCACCTCCACCCGGCTGCTGGGCTTGATGTTGCGGCAAATTCCCCCTTTTTTATTTTATTTTTTATTTTTTTGAATTCAATCTTTCTTTCATGAAAATGTCCTTAATATTCCATAGTTCTCTGGGGGCATTGGGTGTCCCCAGGACCCAGGTTAGTGGATGGATGAGCCCTTTAAATCAAATAAATATAATTTTTATAAGTAGTGTTGCTAAGTTAGAATCCCATATCAAGGGCTGCATTTGACAGTTTCTATATGCTATCCTGCACTGATAGGTTAGGGAAAAGAAGGAACATAGAAATTGCTCAGTGCTTCCAGGGAGGCCACGCCCGACACCTCCACCTGGCTGCTGGGCTTGATGTTGCAGCAAATTCCCCCTTTTTTATTTATTTTTTTGTATTTTTTTGAATTCAATCTTTCTTACATGAAAATGTCCTTAATATTCCATAGTTCTCTGGGGGCATTGGGTGTCCCCAGGACCCAGGTTAGTGGATGGATGAGCCCTTTAAATCAAATAAATATAATTTTTATAAGTAGTGTTGCTAAGTTAGAATCCCATATCAAGGGCTGCATTTGACAGTTTCTATATGCTATCCTGCACTGATAGGTTAGGGAAAAGAAGGAACATAGAAATTGCTCAGTGCTCCAAAAATTACCAGTTGATTTACCCTGGGAAACTCACCTCTTCACTGTTAAGAAATTTCAGGCTAGATTTTTTTTCATTTTTACTTTGAAATGTTAGGACTTGTTGCTTGTTTAAATAAGTCCCAGTTGGAGAACCAGGCAAAAGTCACAGAGCCAAGTCAACATGATTGTCTGATGTAAATTTTGGGTATTAATTAACTGGAATAATATCATAAACACATGATGAAATTAAAACTTAAGTTACATGACAGAGACCAGAGACCGATAAATTAACAATGTGATAGTTGGTGTGATGGAAATTGCCAAAATCATTCATTCCTTCTTCTTAGGCAACTGAAGAGTAATCTCTCTCTTTTTTTTAATTGGTGTATTTAGACCATTTACAGTTAAAGTAATTGATATATTAAGGCTGAAGTCTTCTATTTTATTATTTGTTTTCTGTTTGCTTCTTCTGTGTCTC